GGTGGCAGGTGGTGCTGTTCCCCGCAAACCCCCGCACCGCTGCCGCCGCGCTCTGCTTTGCTCCTTTCCCGACACCGGGCGTTACTGCTGTGCAGCGCTATTTCCAAGTGGTTGGGCTCGCTGGGCATATTAATAGTGGTAACTGATTTTGAACTGGCAAAACCTGTTTGAATTGACCAAAAGGTGCCTTTGGTTTGGACAAAAAAAGTAGACCTGGATTTTTTTTTTCCCCCCTTTGTATCAAGTAATATGCTTAGCATACATCCTCTTGGAACATAAGGGCTTCTATAATGTCACTATATGAAATGCATAAACAAAACAGGGGAAGCTGTGTTTTGGCTTTCATTTGCACACAGCAAAAACCTCCAGCAGTCCTGCTGAGGGTACACTTCTGTGCGGAGAGAGCTTCGTAAAACCCTTCCCTTTCTTAAAAGTTAGCAGAAGCGTTCATTTTCGTATACCGGACAAAAGTACCGAGATTTTGACTGGAGGGCCTTAATCAAATTAGAACTTATTTAAAGTGGAAAAACATTAAATACCACTTGTGAGGGTGGAAACTTGCTGCTCAGTTGCTGCCTAGCTACGAAAATGTTTAAAATCTATAGGACCCACAGTTTATGATCTTAGCAGTTTTCTGGAGACGTGGAAACTCTCTCCTGTAGGAGCAGAGCACTGGCTTTGTCCTGGCAGAGCGGGGCTGCTCAGCCGTCAGGTCGCCAAGAGCCACGCTCAGCATCCAGAAACGAGGTGCTCCTTTCAGAGTCGTGTCAGTGTCTCGTTCAGGTAGAGATTCTCAGAGCACACCTAAAATAGTGGAAGCCCTGTCTTTTTTTCTTTCAAGTGCAGTAATGGCAGTATGTGTCTTTGTGCTGTAAGTTAGGGACTAAAGCAGATACCGGGGCTCGCTCTTTTCTTTCTCCCCCCATACTTTTACTCGGGGAGATTCAAACAGAACTGTGCCTCCCCTGAGGACCATGCTGTAATCACAGGGTCAATTCAGAGAATATGAGAAGATCCATTTTCTATTGCTAGTGTTTGAACTAAGCCTCTTCTTACCCGTGTATGCCTGTCTCCTGCTATCAGGAGTAGTCATGTCATAAAATGTCTATCTGTCTCTTCTCTCTTTTTCCCCCCTCTTCTTGTCTTCATCTTTCTGGATCAGTTCTTCTTACTTGCTCTTGTTCTAAGATGTCTTTATTTGGTGTCCTCCCTGTTCTTTATTCCTCTCCTCTAGAACACCTGTAAAGTGGGTTTCCTTTAGCCTCCTTGTACATCTGACAAGGTCAGAGCTGTCTGTGTCTGCCATTTGAGACTTTGCCTTCCATAATGGAATTAATACACCTGTGGAAGTGAGTGTTAACTTGAAATAGTTTAGTATTTGCTTCTTTTCCTGAAGTATCAGAAAAGATAGCTGTCTGTTAACAGATGAAAGTGATTCATCTCCTAATCCTTTCCAATTTGGTAGCGCTTACGGCAAAACCACAATTTGAACTGCTGAATCTTCTCTCATTTCTATCATCTGAAGGCTGCCTGTAAGAGATTTTGGCTTGTGTAGTTTTACCTCCCATCTTCCAACTGCTGAAACTCTGGTACTGTACAGAGAAAAAATTGAAGACAATCTGTCTTTGCCAAGGAAGCTTTTAAGTACCAGTCTTCAGGTGAAGAGCTGACATGGACAACTGAGAACTTGCTGAGAAGTTCCTTTTCAGCTCTGAGTGGGGCATCTGAGAAGCTGTACTTAACACACCCCATCCTTAGCTTTTTGTCTATGCAGCTCAGCATGCTAGCCTTGAAAAATGTTTTGAGGTGTGTATTCCAAGTATCTCACTAGGCTTTAGGGTTCTGGATATTTATTTTTTCCTTTGTTGTTGTTTCTGTTTGGAATTAACCTAAGTTCTTAATCACATCAATCCCCATTGATCTTTATGTATCTGCCCCACCTATGGTCAAGCATTAATTTGAAAAATAGAAGAGATGTCTGAACTGGTACAAGCTTTCTAAAAACCTAATACTGTATATTCAAGATATTAATTGCAGATTATTTTGTTATGAAGGTGATTATAAGCACAGAATTTAACTGCTGAACTTCCTCCCAAATTGCAGTATAAATGATTTCCATTTGCTAAAAAATATTTTTTGAAATGGCATGTTGTAAGTGTGGTTAATAATAGCAAAACTAATACAGTTAATGAATTGCTGCTAAATTTATGATGAAAAATTTTGTAGTTCTGTCTCTTAAAATTCCAGAAATTCCTTGGAATACATCCCTCGTGTGAGAACAGAATATAAACGAAAGTCAGCATTTTTATATGGAGGTCGCTTGTTGGCCAAGGTGCAATCACTTTATAGGATTTTAAGAGTTTAGTGATTTGGGTTCTTTTAAAATGGAGCCAAATTTAATACTCTGTAGTTCTTAGAGGGAAAACTTCATACTGATCAAAAACACATTTTACTTATTTTGTGGTAAAGTAACATTTCTGGATCAGAAGTTTCCAGAAGATACTGAAATAGCACTTCTAAATCAAAAGTTTGCAGAAGGCGACTTATTAGTGTTCTAGCAGCAGATGCTACTCCCTTTGCAAACAAAGCTTTAGCAAAACAGGTTTTTCGTGTAGTGTTTATACTCTGACGAAATGCCTTTTTTCCAAGTGAAAAATGATTCTGTTGCACTTTGTAGCTGCTTCTGCTAATCATGAATTGAGGTAGTTAGGTTATATCACCTATTAGGATTATTTGTAACTTTAATAATTATGAATGTATTTGTATTTCTTGGTCTTCTGTATGTTTTGTAGTTTAAATGGAAACTGTAGTATGTGGATTTTTTGTTTTGTTTTTTAACCTTTCCAGCATTATCCATGTTTGGAACAACGGTCGGTCTTTATGGGATACCCTGGTGTAAGAAATCCCTGCTGTTAACTGTCTTGATGTCAGTTATTGGAGCTTCCATGGGAATTCTAGACACAGGTAAGGGACCACGTGGTCCGATAGTTTCTTCACCGAACTAATTGGAAACTTCAAGCTCACCAAAACTGTTGATGGTATTTCATGTGACACATCTTGAATTAAAAGAGGGGAGCTGTTTTACCTGGCTGGGATTCTTGGATTATTCTGGTCCTGAGACTTCCAGTGTTTGTGTCTCTGTTAACAGACCTTCCTCCTTAAGGGGCTTGGGGAGCTGGGTATCTCTTGCTTCCTGGAGAAGATCAATATGCATTTCAGTGGGCAATTACAGACGTAAAGGAAGTGTCACGTGCTCTTTAAACAGTGTTTTCTTTAAATTACTCATCTACAGGAAGCTAGTTGGATTACTGTTCATTAGTGCCAGCTGGAACTAAGTTAGTCCTGAGCAAGCCCTGGTGTTTGAGAGCGAGATTCTCACAGTTGCTCTGTTGGAGAGTTGGCCACCTAAACCTGGCCAGGTGGTGTTTTGGAAATCCCAGCAGACATTTACTGCCATAGCTCGCTTACATCACCGTGTCATCCATCTCTGTGAATTAAGGAATATTTGCTGCCCTTGGCCAGCGTCGCTTTGGTGTTGGGGAATACAAATTTATTCTATGCCCCAAATTGTAAGTCTGTGGCATGTGCATACTGCACATGGCCTGGAAAAAACACTTTTGCCGGAAACCTGTTGAAAACCAATTTCTTAGTAGAGGCTCCTTATTGGAGAAAGATGTACCGGTGAAGTTGCAGAGCAAACGTCTACAGGTGCAGTTGGAAAGATCAGTTGTACCCGAGGTATGAAAAAGAAATTCCCACAGAAATCAGTCCATTGGGCATGGCTTAGAAAGGGTGCGTTAGTGATGGCTGGCTGTAGCAGGCAGTTTGGATCAGGAGGCGAGGCCGTGGCAAGAGACCTAAGCACACTCAGAGACGAGCGGGTAACGCTGGCACACGTGCAGATGGGGATCAGGAAACAACCAAAAATACGTCGGCGGTGGAGTGTTCTGGCGTTGCTGTAGAAGGTGGTGGTGAAGCCGCAACAGGCGGCCACTCACCTGGCACCTCTCCAGTGACGTGCCAGCAGTCTGCCGACTTTCCTGGCTTACTGAGGGCGCCTGTGCTTACTTACTAGCCAGCAAGGTACGACTGGATCCGGTGGCAGGCTTAATTCTGAGTAAGAGCTGGCTAATGAATTAGCCTAGCTATCCAAACAGCTCTGGAAGCATCCCAGCCAGGCCCTGGTTTCGGTGGCTTGGCTGGTAGGCAACACAGAGGAGTGATGGCTGCACATGTGAACCATCTGCTCTAATTCTGTGGAGCTTGAGGGAGCTCTGTTAACACTGAAGAGAGCGTGATACAGGATCCAGTAGTGAAAAAGATGGTTTTGCATGGCACAGGTTATGCTAAATAACCTGAGTGCAGAGGTGGCACTTAGTTTAAAAATTCTTTGTATGGGAAAATCCTGTTGGCTTATTGTAAAAATGCCTTCAGTGGGTGGGTGTGCTGCTTGGAAGACAGACCTTTGAGGCAGGGAGACTTCGCAGCAGGAGAAACTAAGAGCAAGGCAGCAGAGTGTAACTGAATTAATTTGGAAGAGTGTTAGTGCTGCGTGACAAGGGTTGCTCTACTGTAGCACAGGAACTTAGTTACTGTTCTTATTTTCCTGCATTCTTCTCAGGGACTACCTAAAAGTGTCTCTCTCAGATCTTATTTTCTAGCATTATTGTTGATCTGAGGGTGTTGTAGTTTGGTCTCTGCAGCGGTATTATTGTAAACCTTTCCGCTTCTGGAAAGTCATTTGAATGCAGTTGGGGTAGTCCCAACCCATGAGAAGCAAGTGATTCTTGGTATTTCTTGGGATGTTGTTTAATGAGGCCTCTGATTCTTAGCGTTGTGCGTTGTTGCTTTTAAAACTTACAGAAATGAGAAGCAGTTAAACTTGCTCTTTTGAAAAAAGGCAGAAAAATGCTGCAAATTGTCAAGTAGGGTAATAAAGTACAGCCATTGTTGCTGGATTAAGCCAGTGTGTGGCTCTTCATTCTGACTGCTGTGAATACCCTCCTAAAGCTCAAATAATCACGTGGGTTTAAGGTGCTTACAGGCAGAATTTCAGTTAACTGCAATTTTGCACATTGTATTTGCTAAACCTGGTATTATTGCAAATTGAATTAATAATACAGGCTACGGTTTGGTTTGTTTTGTCTTCTTTTTTTTTTTTTTTTTTTTTTTAAAACCAGTATCTGGTTTCAGACTAAAATGACTGAATCCTCCTCTCTCCGATCTGCAGGCGGCAATGTACTGGCACTGAACACCTGGGGAGCAGAGGCTGGGCCACATATGCAGGCCTTGCACTTCAGTTTTGCTGTCGGTGCGTTTGTGGCTCCAATCCTGGCTAAAATGGCCTTGGGAGGCTCTGACTCTAAAGACCTTCCAGTAGCTGAAAAGACAAACCAGTCTGTCCTGAGGTCTGTGCCGACAGCATCGGCTGCATCAGCTGCGTCAGCACTGAAACACCATCTTGGTGCAGATTTTTTGTGGTCCTATGTTGTCATAGGGACCTATCTTCTGTTTGTTTCTTTCTTCTTTTTTATTTTGTATTCAAAGGGCAGCTCAGCTCGAGACAAATCAAAGGCTTGTCTGCAGAAATGCATGTTTGCCAAATACCACTGTGCCCTTATTATTCTCCTGTTCGTATTCTTCTTCTGCTACGTGGGAGCGGAGGTCACTTACGGCTCTTACATATTTACTTTCGCAAAGGTCTTTGCCGAGATGAAAGAAAATGAAGCAGCGGCTTTGAATTCTGTCTTCTGGGGTGCGTTTGCCGCTTGCAGGGGAGTGGCAATATTCTGTGCTGCTTGCTTGTACCCTGGCACCATGATCCTGCTGAGTATCACAGGCTCTGCCGTCTCCTCTTCCCTCTTGGCCTTCTTTGCGAGGTACCCAGCCTCCCTGTGGGTTGGAACCGCTGCCTACGGAGCGTCAATGGCTACCATCTTTCCCAGCGGCATTTCCTGGGTAGAACAGTACACGGTCGTGCAAGGAAAATCAGCTTCTCTGTTTGTGATCGGCGCTGCGCTGGGCGAGATGTGCATCCCTGCCGTGGTGGGGTATCTTCAAGGAAGGTTTCACCATGTTCCTGTGGTTATGTACACTGCCATGGGGACTTCTGCAGCGACAGTTATACTCTTCCCTCTGATGTACAAATTAGCCACCTCTCCCGGTGAGAGCGACTTGAAAGAAATGAGCGAGAGCGAGGACCGGAAAGCTTTGTTGTCAAACTCAGGGCTTAATGAGGATGAAGAGGATGAGGAGGATGCGGGAGAGTGGAACGAAGCAGACTTTGAGGTCATAGAAATGAATGACACGCTGAGAAACTCTGTGATAGAGACCTCCCGTAAGATACCCAGGGACTCTCCAGCCAAAGTCTCTCTCCAGCCCCATCTGGACGCTGTATTGCGCGATTCTCCAGTGGTTGCTGGTGGCTCCCCTGGGAGAAAAATCGTGAATGTTGACCGGGAGAAGAATGATTAAAGTAAAAGCTGACTTTTTTTTTAAAAAGGGAAATGCAATTGAATTGTAGAAGTGGTTCAAGAATCCTTTTACAGTGGTGCAGAGCTCAGCGCGTTCATTTCTGTTTGTCCGGCCCTTTCTCCTCTTTCGTTTTCGGTCTGCAGCGACATGTCTCAGAGTGGGGAAGTCCACCATGACATGAATGGGGTAACGTGATAAAATGTATAGGCTATACCGAAAATGTTAAAATCTAAGAGACGTTTTCTAAACGTGGGGCATGCATTTAAGTAATATATGCTGTAAAAAGAACTAACTAGGAAAGGAGGGGACTGCTCAGACCACTCAGTTTTTTGGGGGCGGGTGGAGGATGCGGTTCCGAGGTGCTTGGTCACGAAATGTTTTCACGCGAGAGGAGAGGAGATGTTATTTGTGACACTGAGCTCGCTTATCTTGTGAAAGAAGGTGGTTTCTGCTGCACTGAAAGTTTGTGTGACGTAAATCAGGAAATCAAGTCAAATTTCAGGTGATGCCCAGTGGCTGTAAATCGGATGGCCTTTTGGCAAACTTATATAATTTTCTGGTTCTGTCACTAAGACGAGAAAAAATTAAAAAATTAATTTTTAGGAGTGAAACCCTGCCTTTGGGTTGTTTAAAAGCAAAGGGGGGCAAAATGGATCGTATTAATCTGTTAGAATGCTTAACTCTGATTTACTAGTTGAACGGTGGTGACAAATCTAAATAGTCTAAAGTACTTGTGATTGTACTTGTGATTTTAATTACTGCACTACCACTGAAATCAAGAAATGTATGAAGAAGATGATGAAGTTATATATAAATAGATTACTTAATATATGGTATTGACATACGGCTGTGATATTTTTAAGCCAGTTGTTTAAATTAAGGTTGTAATAACTTTTCTGGCTTCCTGTGCCAAGACTTAAAGATAGTGACGTGTTAAAATGAAAATTTGAGAAGGAGAGGGAATTACCGATGAGACAATCCTCTCAGGTCGTACAGTAGGGTCACTTGCCTCTTGCCAGCTGGACTGGTGCCATTTGGGTTTTGTTTCTTCGGGTGGTGCCTCTTCCTAGGAGAGCAGCAGGGGTTGTATTTCTGGGTTCATTGCTGCTCAGCAGGAAAAACCAAGGAAGGACGGGTCGTGCCAGCCAGCCCTCCCCAGTGAGAGCAGCAGCTAATGGCAAACACCTGCCTTGGAAACAGTAGTCTTGCAATTTGCCTACTTGAAACTCCCAAGTTTGTAGGTTAAGTTTTTTTTTTTTTAAGGCTGCGTGATCAGAATGTGCTCATGTTTGGGGTATTTACTTTGCGCTGTTACGAATGTTTTTCTTGCTAAGAAGTTTAATTTACTAACAAAAGAGCTCTAGATGTAGCATAGCACAGAACCTTAGATGTTCAGCGTATTTTCAGTTCTGTTCTTGTTCCCTCTCGTCCTCTGAGTGTGCAGCCTGGAACCTCCTGGCTTTTTCCTTTCTTCTGAGAAGTTAGTAGGAAGCAGTGAAAATGCATAATTTTTTTGCATCTCGCTGTGTTGAAGGGCCTCCCTCTCCCTCTGCTGTTGGCACTTAAATGCCATTGTTTTTGCCTGATTCTTTTTTTTTTTTCTTGTGTGTACGTGCACTTGCGTGGCATCTTTTCCAGTGCAATGCATGAACCTGCACTTTTAATGTGGCCTTGTTTCACTTGCTACACAAGGGTTCTCTTCTTTGCTTAAAGTAACGGTAAATGCTTTTAACTATCAGGCTAAGTCCTGTTCTAGGTAGATGTGACGGCATTTGATCAACAGGAGCAAGTCTCTATGGCCGTCTGTGTTCTGTTAGTTTCACGTGGTAACAAAGGAGGTGGTGTGGCAGAGGGGGCGACTGCAGTGAGTGCAGATTCAGCCTGCGTTTCTTCAACTTCCCTTCCCCCCTTTTCCCTCCTGCACGCCACGTAACCGCTGTGTGCGCGCAGCAAGTGGGGTGTTACCCGCTGGTGGATGATGGGGGGCGATAACCGCTTCTGCGGGAGTTCCCGGGCCCCGGCAGGTCACAGGTTTCCCTTGGCAGAAACTGGGTTTGGTGCAGGACGAACAACAGCCGATGGGGAAGTGGTTCTGCGGCAGCTCCCCCTGGAACTGCGGGCGCACAGGCTTTCCCTGAAGTGATGGCAATGTAAAAAAGTTTCCCCATACCTGAGATCATGTTGCCAGAAGAAAATTAGTTTAAGAAACACACCTGGCAACCAGTTAGATTTTAAATAATCCCCAATTCATATACTAATTTTGGAATGAAATTCCAAATTGGAATGTCCTGCACGTAAGATAATCAACTACTAAAAAACCAGAAAATGAAATTAAATGGGAAATGTGCTGTAACCTCTTTGAACCTTCTCTACTTACTGCTTATATATACACATTTATTTGTGTTTCTGACTAATGTCTTCCCAACAAATGGAAAAACTGTGCAAAACAAAGATGATGTGTTTTTTTTTTTTTTTTT